ACTGGCCGTGCCAATGAAAAGCATCTTTACTGGGGAGGATCTCTTCCAGGCATTCAACAGTGTGCATGTGGACTGGAAGAAAGTTGTCTGGATATGAGATATTTTTGCAACTGTGATGCAGATAGAGAAGAATGGTAATAATTTTAACATGTGTATGGTAGTGTCTGTGTGAGATTTCAGAATACAGAGTAGAGCAATAATTCTGTAGCTTATTTACACCTGGGGAAACTTGAACGGTTTGAGTTTAATCAAATGACAGTGAAAGCCAACCTAGAATTTAGACTTTAGATTTCATCTTAAATTTCTTATCTGAACCAAGATTGGCTGCAGGATGGGTTGTCTTCAAAGACCTTCTTGCTGTTGAGTGCTGAAGCCTGTGTTTTTATTTGTTTAAAAATGTTCATTGACAAACTCAATGATTTAAAGGGTGCTGTAGGTATATTTGAGAAGAGAAACTTCAGGTATAGTTGGTAGAATTCTATTATGGGCAGCTAAGAACAAGAAATCTATAGCACTAAAAGTGCTTATATTTTTCTTATGAAACAGTGTGCCTGTATGTGCCTGAATTTTCTTTTATATTGGTTCCCAAGCTTTTTAGAATTATTGGAAAATATTTCCTTTGGTAGTGTCTGAAACAATTTGAAACACTGTGGAAATATGCGTGAAAATTCTGCTTCACACTCTGGCCCTGGTAGATTATTGACTGATAGGAGTTGCTGTCCTTTCTCTTAAAAAAAAAAAAAAAAAAAAAAATTAGCATGAGGTTCTTTAGAAATCTAGAATAATGAAAGCCGACAAGAAATATAATATGCAAGTGGCTTAAATAGGCCACTGTGTTTGAAATAGTGTCTGAACTATGAAAGCTGTGAAACCTTCACTTGAAAGTGAGTACTCACTTTGTTTTGGCACTGTAAGGGTTCTTAAATCAAAAAAAATCATCCCAAGATTTTCAGGAATGACTTGAAATGACAAGTGTTGTACTTTTTTGGATGCTGACTCTGTGGCACTTGTAGGAGTTCCTCCTTCGTGGGTGGTGTGATATGTTCCCGTAGAACCCCTGGCATCCTTGGGCTGCTGTTCCCTTTCAGAAATACGTAACTGCAATGGTGTTCCTTCAAGAAGCTCTGTATGTATTTTTTTTTGGGGGGGGGGGGGCTGCAACATGTATGGGAGAGCCTCGCTCTGCCTGCTCATCTATCTTCTCTTCAATGTTCAATTAACAGGAGCACTTTGGTAAGGGATGCACATAAGTATCAAGAGAGTCTAATTTTACTGCGTGTCTAGCTCGATTCAAGTTCACATTTTGCTTAGTTCAGTACAGAATCACAGAATGGTTGAGGTTGGAAGGGACCTCTAGAGATCATCTAGTCCAACCCCCTGCTCCAGCAGGGACACCCAGAGCACGTGGCACAAGGTGGCATCCAGGCAGGTTTGAAGATCTCCAGAGAAGGAGGCTCCACAGCCTCTCTGGGCAGCCTGTTCCAGGGCTCTGTCACCCTCACAGTAGAGAAGTTCTTCCGGGCGTGTGATGCTGGCAGACTATTTTGATGATCATCTAAGACTGCAGCACTAGGTCAGACAAACCAGAGCAAAGCAAAAACTAAATGTAGTTTTATAAGATTTCAGCCAGTCTTCCTAAAAGAATGAGACCTAAGCAAGTTGTGCTATGTGTGTGCTTCTCTGTTGCCTGTCCCCGTTTCCCCAACCTTCTTGAATATATTTCAAAAATATTTAATGGAGAAGGAAAAATCTCAAAAGTGTTAGAAACTGCACATTCATTCTTTTTTTTTTTTTTTTTCCTAGGTTGAGGAAAAAAAGTAGGAATTAAAACCTGAAAGAAGTTAAGGAAGAATAAACTGACAGTTTTATTAGATATCAGAAAAAACACATGGGGGAGAGATGTTGAAAATCTGGCTTCATTAGCTTTGTTGCTCATAGAACAGCTTGTTTCTCCTAATTTCATGATGATAACAGAATACAGATAACAGTTTCCAAAGCTAAACTACTTATTGTTTGTTGATTTGGGAGTGTTTTTTTTTCCAGTGTTTTTTTTTAATCCATTATAGATTTGGATTTCTGTTTAGTGGCATTCTGAATTGCAGGTTGCCTGTTTAAAAGCTGAAAAAGCTCTGAACTCTGCAAAGAGTTTCAAAACACAAGAAATGTGCCTTCGAAAGATTGCTTTTGTGCTACTCTGCTACAACACTGACACCCGGATCTAAA